ACAAATCACTTGAGGAAGTCATTTCTTTCATTATGTTCACTTAAAAGACTCCAAACAAATTGTTCGTGAACGACACAACCCTATTTTACAGACAGTTCGGTGTTTTGACCAGCCGTTCTCCATCCACTACAACTTCTGGCCGGGCATAATTTCCCAGATTCATTACAGTGTTAATGTGTTATTGGTTGATATTGACATTTAAAAAGTCTGACTGCATCAGCCCTGCGTTCACACCTGCTGTGGACCAGAGCATGGTTCGTTTTGAAGAGGACCAAGTCCTGCATTTTCAAGGGGACCATGGTCCTTTTAGAACATTGTTAATGTTGACAAGAAATCTGTGGCGTGTGGTGTATTTTGTGGACCAAGAAGCAGATTTAGAGGCAGATAGCAAGTTAAAAGATGTATTTTTAATGTCCAAAGCACAGGGTAAAAGGCACGAGGAAAGTCTGGTTGGCTGGCTGACTGTGGTGTCGGCTGGAGACACTGTGGACAAGCAGAAGAGAAGGAGGTTAGAAGTCATATGAGTAATTACAGGGAGCAAAAGTCATGAGCACTTAGCCGAGGAGAAGGCCAGGAGAGGCGTCTGTACCGCTCAGGAACGAAGACAATGCTCAGGCGCTGAGACTGAGGGCTGCTGGCTTCTTAAATGGCCTTGATTGCAGATGCAGCACAGGTGTGGAGTCTCGCTCAGCCTCAGCGACCGGGGAGAGGGAGCGTGCTCTGAAAGCAGTCAAGCCAGACCATGGTAGCAAGGAAAACAACAGGAAGTTAAACCAAAATAAAGCAGGAAGTGGAGGCGTCTCACCACAGTACCCCCCTCTCAACGAACACCTCCTGGTGTTTTGCCGTGTTTGTTGGGGTGAGCAGCGTAGAAGTCGTCAAGGAGTTGATGGTCCAGGATGAGGGAGCGGGAGATCCACGGGCTGCTCCTCTGGACCGTAACCCTCCCAATCCACGGGGTATTGGAAGCCTCGTCCCCGAGGCTGCACGTCCAGGATTTGTCCCACAGTGAAGGCAGGGTGGTCGTCAATCATCCGGGGGGGTGGAGGGGTGACGGAAGGAGGGCTCAGGGTGCACGTGGTGACAGGCTTTATCAGGGAGACATGAAATGTAGGGTGAATTTTGAGGGATGAGGGATGTTTTAGTCTTACCGCCGAGGGGTTAATAATCTTCTGGATCGGGAAGGGACCAATGAAGCAGGCCGACAGCTTGCGGGACTCGGTCAGCAGGGGAAGGTCATGGGACGATAACCAGACCATCTGACCGGGACGATAGTCTGGTGCCGGAGAGCAGTGAACATCAGCCAGGCGTTTGTTGCGCTTGGCCGTGCAAGTGAGTGCAGCCTTGGCAGATTTCCACACCTCCCGTAGACACACAATGTGCTTCCTCACCGACGGGCCGGCCACAGGGTGCTCCTTTTCGGGAAACCGGGGGAGCTGGTACCCAAAACAGCACATGAAGGGGAGACATACCTGTGGCTGAGGAGGTGAGGGACTTATGGGCGTACCGGATCCACAGGAGGTGTGTACTCCAGGACGCTGGATGATGGGCCGCAACACACCGCAAAGCTGACTCGAGGTTTTGATTAGCCCGCTCCGTCTGGCTGTTGGTCTGCGGGTGATAACCCAAGGAGAGGCTAGCTGCCGCGCCCACCACCTGGCAGATAGCTTTCCAAACCTGGGAGGGGAACTGGGGACCACGATCTGATACAATGTCAATAGGGATACCATGGAGTTGAAAAACATGTAATACTAGGAGGTTAGCAGTTTCTAGCGCAGAGGGGAACTTGAGTAAAGGGATATAGTGTATGAATTTGGAAAACCTGTCTATGATGGTGCGTATAACAGTGTTACCTTCATGCTAATGTGACTCTTGCTCGGTTATGCTTTCCCCTTGTGAGGTCACCTGTGTTGCTTAACCCTTGTGCTGCCCTTCAGGGTCAAAAAGACCCAGTCAGTATACCCTTGCCCTAGTGGGGTGAATTTAGCCTCCAGTCAGCGTGGACTAAGACAATGCATGACTCCTGATTGTTTTAGCCCCGCCTGGGTTGAACAGACCCCAGTCAAGTATGGATTTGAGAATTCGTAAACTCGCGCCCCTGCCCTCGGCAGGGTCAAATATACCCCACCGTGGTGTACATAGACTTTTTTTTTTTTTTTACTCATTTGAACTCATGACTCCTGACGTTCCAGCGCGCATCTCAAACAGCATACACCCCTGGACCTGATTCTCGCTCATCCTGTGTCCCCCCTCTCACCCGCTTACATTGATTGTAAGCACGTATTTTACAGCGTGAGGACTGTAAAAACATAAAGCTCTAGGTTTTACTTCCAAGGCTACACTACATATAGAGACTAAGACTAAGACTAAGACTTGTTTGATGATTAATGATTTTAATTGTTAATAGTGTTTTATTATTGTTTTTATATGTTCTGTAAAGTGTCCTTGAGTGACGTGAAAGGCGCTTCAAATAAAATGTATTATTATTATTATTATTATTAAGAAAACTTGGAAACTTGGAGGACTGGAAAAAATAAAATAAAATAATAATAATAATAATAATAATAATAATATAACACTAAGTGTTTTAGGAAAGGATGTTGGTATCAACAAAAGTTCCATCACAAGAGTAGAGTAGAATAGAGTGAAAACTGTATTCATCACGGCAGGGAAAACTTAGAGAGTGTCAGAGAGCTTACAAATACAGATAACAGATAACAACAGCCACACTACCTAATTCATATAGATGAGCACAATCTATCACAAAATAAAGGCAGTACAGTGGCAAGGCAAGGGGATTTTGTTTTTACACACACTTTTGTCTCAGAGAGTTTCACATAGCATTATAATGCCAACATCATCTGCCCTTAGACCCTCACATCAACTGAGGAAAAATCGAGAAATAAAACAAAAAAAAGGACAGACAGAGTACAGTAAGTATTCTCTATCTATCTATCTATCTATCTATCTATCTATCTATGTAAAGACATAAATATATTTGCTTTTTGTTTTTGTTCATCTTCTTACTCTGTGTGCTTTTAAAGCAAGGGAATGGCTGTAATAGCTCAAACAAAAAAATGTGAACGCGTAGTAGTGTAGGATATTGTGAATTCCTAGAAAAACAAAATCTGTTTGGATTTTAGATCAACTCAGAAATCCAGTCAAAGAATATAGTTTCTCTCTCTCTCTCTCTCTCTCTCTCTCTTTCTCTGTCTTACTCAGGCTTGTTTCCTTCACAGGGGCGCTTCATTCCGTTATTGCCTAGGAGTAAAAACAGAAAAAGTTTTCTCAAAAGTGTTGCACACCGACAACTGGGACCGTAGAGGACAGACCAGAGTACATTAAGTATTCTATATCTATCTATCTATCTATCTATCTATCTATCTATGTAAAGACATAAATATATTTGCTTTTTGTTTTTGTTCATCTTCTAACTCTGTGTGCTTTTAAAGCAAGGGAATGGCTGTAATAGCTCCAACAAAAAAATGTGAACGCGTAGTAGTGTAGGATATTGTGAATTCCTAGAAAAACAAAATCTGTTTGGATTTTAGATCAACTCAGAAATCCAGTCAAAGAATATAGTTTGTCTCTCTCTCTCTCTCTCTCTCTGAGCAGTGAGTGTGCTGAGTGAGTGTGCGGAGCGATTGATCGTGTGTTTGAACATGTTTTCTTTCTTTTTTGAGGTTTTTTCATTAGAAAAAGTCTGGTTTATTTGTATTAGTAGTTGTAGGTGAGTAGTTTAGTTTGGAGTTTGGTGGTGGTGGGCTGACAGCAGGGCGACATGCCCGTTGTCAGTGGTCATGCCGAGCTGGAGCTGCTAACTCGCCGGCACGCGGTGAAAGTTTTACCTGGAGCTGGCGTGTCGGTGGAGGAGGTGAGCTATGCTGTTGGTGAGGTGGTGGGATTTGAGAGTGTAAAGTCAGCATCAAGAATGAATAGTGCTGTTGTTATTTTTTTAGATGAGGTGAGTAAAGTGGAGAGGGTGGTGGAATCGGGAGTAGTATTGAGGGACACGTTCACTTCCGTGTTTCCTCTGGTAAACGTGGCTAAAAAGATCACAGTGTCCAATGCACCACCGTTTATTAAAAATGATGACCTGTGTAAAGCTTTGGCTAAATACGGTCAAATTGTATCACCAATAAAAATGGTGTTACTAGGGTGCAAATCACCGAAACTAAAGCACGTCGTGTGTCACAGGAGGCAGTTTTTTATGATCCTTAAAGACGCCGAAAATCCCTTAAACCTGTCGCTAAATTTTAAGATTGACGGTTTTAACTATGTGGTTTTTATTACATCGGACACAATGAAGTGTTTTGGGTGTGGGGCCGAAGGACATCTCATCAGAGCTTGTCCTGAGGCTAGAAAGGAGAACGCCGGGGCTCCTGGCCCGGAGCGCATGGCGGATGAGTCCAGCGTGTCGGGCGCGGAGCGGCCGGCGGGTGAAGCCGGGGCTCCGCGCGTGGAGCGGCCGGCGGGAGAGGCCGGGGCTCCGCTCGGGAGTGGCTAGTGGGAGAAGACGGGGCTCCGCGCGCGGAGCGGCCGGCGGGTGGAGACGGGGCTTCGGGCGCGGAGCGCCCAGCGAGTGTGGCCGGGGCTTCGGTCATGGAGAAGCCGGCGAGTGCCGGCGAGTGCCGGCTTCTGCGCGCGGAGCGGCCGGCGGGAGAAGCCGGGGCTTCTGCGCGCGGAGCGTCCGGCGGGAGAAGCCGGGGCTTCTGCGCGCGGAGCGTCCGGCGGGAGAAGCCGGGGGCGCCCGGCGAGCAGGGCCGGGGCTCTGGGCGCAGAGCGCCCGGCGGGTGGAGCCGGGGCTCCGTGCGCGGAGCGGCCGGCGAGTGGGGCCGGGGCTCCGGGCGCGGAGCATGAGACAGACGCCTCGGGCTCCCGTTTGAGTAAGCACGTGCCCGAGGATAACAGCATGGAAGTGTGGTTGAGTGGGGCTGCACCAAATGAAAATAATGTTAAAATTGACCAACAGAAAAAAACTGTAAATACTGTGGTGGAGGGAGGAGGAGAAACCAAATCTGACATCGATAACATGATTGAAGTGATAATGGAAGACGTTTTTAATGAACAAAACGTCAGCCTTAAATACAGTAAGAGAAAACAACCAAATGAGCAGAGTCAGGGGGGAGGGAAGGCCATGAAGGTACTGGAGGACCTTTCTGAGGAAGAGGAGGAGGAGGAAGAGGAGGAGGAAGAGGCTGACTTTACTCCTTCTCAAAAAGAAAAAATAACACATTACAGTGTGTCAAAAATCAAAAAGTTTTTAGCCGACACTAAAGGTCAATGGGCCGTCAAAGTGGAAAATTTTTTCCCAGACTTAAATGGTTTTATAAACTCAGTGAATAGTTTTAAAAAAGAGAATGCGTTCACTGAACAGGAAGTTTACAGACTCAGTAAGCTCAAGAAAAGGGTCAAAGAAACACTCAGAGTGACAAGTAACTGAATTTTATGATGTCGTGTTTTTTATCCCCTGTTTTTATTTGTTCGGTTCTTCTCACAGTTTTTATGAACATTCGTATTGGGACCCTAAACTAGTGCTGGACGATAATTCGATAACAATATATATCGATCGATAGAGGTGTGGTGCAATAGAAAAAAAAACGGGTCGATAAAAAGTTTGATAAAAAACACAGTTTCCCTTTCTTTTTCATCATAGCCTATCATGTAGCTTTTACTACAGTCATTACTTCCTCCCAACCAATCACAAACGCAGACCCAGGTACGCTACGGCACCAAGCCCAGTGTAGCATCTCAACTGGATTTAAAGACTCCATGAACGAGGACAGATGCACTGTGATGAAGAGCTGAAATAAAACACAAAGCACAATTACACTCTCACATTTTCATCCGGGCGCACTTGTCAATCACATACACAATGTTAGCAAACCGGACAACAAATCAATTTACACATGAACAGCCCCCACAAACATACCTTTGCACCATCCAGTTAAGCGCTATTAACGATGTTTCATCCTTTACATGAAGTGGATTCGCGTACCATACGTGCAACATCTCCTTCTTCTCATAGCATGTGTCCCTCGTTTTCCGCGATCAATCACTCAAAAGAACAAACACGGACAACGTCCTGGCCCTTTCAGAATAAAATATAAGTGCCGGATTTGCGCCTTCAAAACAAAAGCACCCAAAACCCAAACATTGCAACACATACGCTTAACCACAAACAGGCATACACAAAAGAGTCATGTAGGATGGTTCCCCTTTGTAAAATGAACAAATATGGGTCATTTACACCCAGCCCCTATCAAACCACAACAGACAGCACGTGTATTAGAAAAAATATTACAGCAAAGAGAAGCGGAGGACATTGTCCCGAAAAAAGGTCTCAGTAGTTCTCCAGCATGGCAATGTTTTGATTTTTAGAAGTCTGACAAAAAGCGAACAGTGGTCGTTTGCAAAATTTGCCGAGAATTAGTAAAAACCAAGTCTGGTAACACAACCAACTTGTTTTACCATCTAAACCGGTCGCAGCCGCAGGAGTACGAGCTGTGTCGGCCGCGCCGCGGCTCCACGTCGTCGGAGGAGGAATCCTCTGGAACCGCTGCCAGCACCGGCACAAAGCAAGTGAAGCAGACCAAACTGGACTTCGTTTCTTGCCAAAATACGACAAAGCGTCCGAGCGGCATAAGGACATCACCCATGCAGTAACATGCTCCATAGCGAGGGACATGCTGCCAATAACTACCGTTGAAAAGCCTGGCTTCAAACAGCTTCTAGCCACTCTCGACCCGCGATATGAAGTGCCCGGCCTCAAGTATTTCTTAAACACAGCGCTTCAGGCATGAAAATGGGTCAGGGGTTGAAAAGGTGAGAAGGGTGCGGAGGAAATACGTTCCGGTGTTGTGCCGTAGAATGCACCCCTGCATCCCGTCCACTCATTAGCTTCTTAAAGTGGAAGAAAATGAGCTCATATTTTACAAAGACGCGAGTATTTGGATCATGGCTACTGGCAGGGGGTGCATTCGGCAGGGGTGCAATCTATGGCACAACACCGGCGTGGATAAGTCCTGCTTCTCGTGCTCAGTTTGCGTATTAAGTCAATCACATGATAATTAAAAAAAAATAAATCTCCCGACCCCGGGAGAAATATTTCAGTGTTCAGACACCAGGCTGTGGGCAGTTTCCCACACAGTTAAAATTGGTAGTATGCTATTCCCACCTAAAGCTATTCTGTTTATTTATATATTTGTTTGTTTTGTTTATTTTCATCAAAAGACTATTTAAATATTTATTTATCAGATTTTCTGGTCCCTTTAGTCTTTATGTTTGTCATTATTTACTGACGTCACTCAGGCCACTTAAGTTGATCTCTTTTTTTTTTTTAAGTTCTTTTTTAAAAAACTTTCAGTTGTGGTAAAAAAAAAAGGTGGTTGAATAAAGGTTTGAATTTGAATTCAGTGCTTGTGTGTTCTTTATTAAAAGTAGGTCATTAAGCAATAGCATAAAACATCCAGGGCTGCAATTAAAATATATGTTAAATAATTATAATAATTATATCGATAATTATCGATATCGATCAATATGATTTATTTTTTATCGATATGCTTTTTTTCTATATCGTCCAGGCCTACCCTAAACATAAATGGAGCTCGCTTGGACTATAAGAGAGCCTCTCTGTTCCAGCTGTGCCAGCTGAAAAAGCTGGACGTACTCTTTGTGCAGGAGACCCACAGTGACCAGAGGAATGAGGGGGACTGGAGAAGGGAGTGGCCAGGCCAGGTCTATCTGAGTCACAAAGTGTCCAACAGTGCTGGGGTGGGGATCCTGTTCTCCAGGTTCTTTAACCCTCAGACTGTGCAGGTGCACCAGGTGATGGATGGACACATTTTAATGGTTAAGGCTCAGTATGAGGATTTTAGATTTGTTTTTGTGTGTGTTTATGCTCCAGTGCTGGGCAGAGACAGAATGCTGTTTTTAAATACGCTGTGTGATGTGGTGGGGGGTGTGGAGGAGGGTTTTTTATTCCTGGGGGGTGATTTTAACTGCACTGCTGATGCAGTGTTGGACAGGAATCACCTGGAGCCTCATCCTGCCTCATCCACTCAGCTGAAAAGACTGATGGAGACTCATGACCTGAAGGACGTGTGGAGAGGTTTGAATGGCTCCACCAGGCAGTACACCTGGTCCCACTGCAAAGACAACAGCTTGTCTCTAGCCAGACTGGACAGATTTTATTGTTTTAAACACCATTTCAGCATTTTTAAGAAATGTCTTATTGTCCCTGTGGGTGTGTCTGACCACTTTTTAGTCCAGTGTGACTTTTTTATCCAAAATGTGAAGACATCCAGCGCCTACTGGCATTTTAACACGGCTCTTTAAGAAGACTGTGCTTTTAAAGATGCTTTTAGGTTTTTATGGGCTTCACACAGGGACAGGAGGGCAGAGTTTTTATCAGTGCAGAGATGGTGGGACTATGGGAAGGTTTTAATTCAGCAGTTCTGTCAGCAGTATACTCGCAACGTCACCAAGCACATCACCAGATCCCTCCAGGTCTTGGAGACTGAGGTACAGAACCTGTTGGACTAAACAGGAGAAGGGAGGCATGTTGAGGCCCTCCAAAAGAGGAAGGCTGCCATAGCCAACCTGCTGGGCACTACAGCACAGGGGGCGCTGGTCCGCTCCCGATACATGAATGCCTCCATGATGGACGCCCCATCGAAGTTCTTCTTCAGCCTGGAGTCAAAAAATGGACAGAGGAAGGTCATCCACAGCCTGCGCGCCGCTGACGGATCCGCCATCACTGGGGCCTCAGAGATCCGCAGGCATGCCACATGTTTTTATAGAGACCTTTTTAAAAGTGAACTGGTGGAGGATCCACAGCTGGAGGCAGACTTTCTGTCTGACCTCCCTAAGGTGGGACAGTCGGGGAACTCTCTCCTGACAGCGGACCTGACTTTGGAGGAACTGCATGTGGCCCTCATGAGCTTGGCCAACGGAAAGGCCCTAGGCATCGACGGGATCCCAGTGGATTTCTATAAGACTTTCTGGCCCGTGGTGGGCGAGGACTTATTGGAAGTTTTTCAGGAGAGTTTAAGAACGGGACTGTTACCGCAGAGCTGCAGGAGGGCTGTCATAACCCTGCTCCCTAAGAAGGGGGACCTCCAAGACCTGAAGAACTGGAGACTGGTCTCACTGCTCTGCGGGGACTATAAGGTCCTCTCCAAAGCCCTGGCTCTACGGCTGCGAGAGGTGATGGCGGAGGTGGTTCATGTAGACCAGACCTACTGTGTGCCCGGCAGACTGATCAGTGATAACATCACTCTGATTCGGCATATTTTGGACGTCTCTAGCTCTTTAGGCGTTGACACTGGTCTGATTTCCATAGACCAGGAAAAGGCTTTTGATCGGGTTGAACACCAATACCTGTGGAAGACGCTTGCCGCCTTCGGGTTCAGCCCAGATTTTATAGCCAGGGTTCAGGTTATGTACCGTGACGTTGCGAGCATACTCAAGATTAATGGTGGTCTGGCTGCTCCCTTCTGCGTACAAAGAGGGGTTCGACAGGGTTGCTCCCTATCCGGGATGCTCTATACTTTAGCGATTGAGCCGCTACTAGAAAAAATGAGGAGGACTCTGACAGGAGTGCTGTTCCCAGAATGTCCTGCAGCGATAAAACTAAGAGCATACACTGACGACATCATGGTGGTTTTAAACACACAGAAGGACATTCAAGTTTTAGAGGACAACGTCAATCTTTTTAACAAACTGTCTTCAGCCAGGGTCAACTGGGCCAAGAGTGTGGCCTTCACCACTAACAAGGACTCCTTGGGGGGGCTGGTACTTCCTGGGGGGCTCCAGTGGACAGTGGGGGGGCTTAAATATCTTGGGGTGTTTTTAGGGGATGAACAGTTTTTAAAGAGAAACTGGGAGGGGGTCCTGGAGGCTGTCGAGGGCCGACTGAAGAGGTGGAGGTGGTTGCAGCCGTCCATGTCTTACAGGGGGAGGACCCTGATCATTAACAACCTGGTGTCGTCCTTCCTGTGGCACAGGTTGGCTGTTGTCGACCCTCCCCCAAACCTGCTCTCCAGGGTCCAGACTGTTTTAATTGACTTTTTCTGGGACAAGCTTCACTGGCTCCCACAGGCGGTGCTGTTCCTCCCTGTGGAAGAGGGAGGTCAGGGGCTGGTGCACCTGGCCAGCAGGGGGGCAGCTTTCAGACTGCATTTTATCCAGCGGCTGCTGTACGGGCCCCAGGACCTGGTGTGGAGGCCCCTGGCTCGGCTGATTCTGCGGAGCGTGGGCGGCCTCGGCCTACAGGAGACTGTGTTTTTATTGGATTTTAAGACTGTGAGTTTTTTATCCCTGCCAGAGTTTTACAGAGGCGTGTTCAGCGTGTGGAAGCTGCTGTGGAGGCAGAGGGTCCAGCACCAAACCTGCTGCTGGCTGCTGAGGGAGCCGCTGGGCCGTGGAGGCCTGCTGAGCAACCCCCCCTGGGCAGGAGCAGCGGTGGCCGAGGACCTAAAGACGGCGGGGATCACCACGCTGGGGACTCTGCTGGACATCACCGGACCTGACCTGCAGGAGACGGAGGAGCTGGCGAGGCGCTTGGGCTGGAGATCGAGGAGGAACGTGAGCCGACTGCTGAGCCACTGGAGAACCTGCCTGACGGGACGAGACCGACAACTGCTGGGAGAACAGCGCCAGGAACAGACTGCCCCCTGTCCCAACCAACCGTTCCCCCCCCTCATCATCCGTCCGGGACCAGACCTGCAGCAGGAGGTGAGCCTGGAGAAGGCCGAGGGAAAGGTTCTCTCAGCTCTGATGGTGAAGACCTTAAACAGAGAGAGACTGCAGCAGCACATCCGGTCCCCCTGGAGGGCTCGGCTGGTCCTGGGGGACAAGGTCCGGGCTGAGTGGAGGAGCCTGTACAAGCCTCCACTCTCCAAGAGGGTGGCTGACCTCCAGTGGAGACTAATCTATGGGATTTTAGCTGTAAACTCTTTTATTTCCATCATGAACACAGCAGTCCAGAACAGCTGTCCGTTCTGTGGAGCAGTGGAGACCATCGTCCACTGCTTCACTGAGTGTCCTCGCCTCGCTCCTCTGTTCAAACTGATGGAATGTGTGTTCAGGAGAGCAGACGAGGTGTTTTCTTTTAAGACATTCATTCTTGGTTTTAAATACAAAAGAGCTCAAAAAGAAAAATGCCAAATGTTGAACTTTGTGCTGGGACAATCAAAATTGGCGATATACGTGAGCAGGAAGCTGAAAGTGGAGGACGGTGTGGACTGTGACCCGGTGCTGCTCCTGAGCAGAACCATCAAAGCGAGGATTCTGATTGACTTTAAGTACTACAGAGAAATGCAGAACATGCTGCGGTTTTATCAAACATGGACCCATGGTGGAGTTCTGTGCTCAGTAAAAGATGGTGGACTGGAGTTTTCAGATCAGCTGGTCTGATCTGTTTTTATTTATTGTTTTTATTTAAAATATTTGTATATATTTATATATATATATATATGATGCTGCTTTAATGTTGAAAAAATGACTTGAATAAAGTTGTTTTGAAAAATCAAAAAAAAAATCTCTCTCTCTCTCCCCCTCTCTCAACATGCGGTTACTCGAACCTGTTTCCCTTCACAGTTGCGCTGCATTCCACAGGGCCACTGCATTCCATCATTGCCTGTTGAACACCGACAACTGGGACCGTAAGGGACAGACCAGAGTACAGTAAGTATTCTATATCTATCTATCTATCTATCTATCTATCTATCTATGTAAAGACATAAATATATTTAGGGCCCGAGCGTAGCTGCTAAGCAGCTGCGAGAGCCCTCTTGTTCCTGATGGATTCTTCTTTTTAGGGCCCGAGCCAGCTGCAGAGCAGCCGGGCGTAGGCCCTATTATTCCCCAAGTGGTTTTTTAGGGCCCGAGCGTAGCTGCTAAGCAGCTGCGAGAGCCCTCTTGTTCCTGCATGTTTCCTTCTTTAGGGCCCGAGCGTAGCTGCTAAGCAGCTGCGAGAGCCCTATTATTCCCCAAGTGGTTTTTCTTTGTTTCTTTCTTTCTTTCTTTCTTTAGGGCCTGAGCGTAGCTGCTAAGCAGCTGCGAGAGCCCTCTTGTTCCTGCATGTTTCCTTCTTTTGTTATTAGGGCCCGAGCGTAGCTGCTAAGCAGCTGCGAGAGCCCTATTATTCCCCAAGTGGTTTTTCTTTGTTTCTTTCTTTCTTCTTTTTCCTCCCCTTTGAACTGGAAAATGGCCCACTTCCCACTGGCGAAAACTCATGAAATTTGGCAGGATGACCGGGCCTGGTGAAAAATTTGATATTCCGAAGTCGCCCAAACAAGAAAATGCAAAATGGCTCCATAGCGCCCCCTAAGGTGAAAATTCACACTATTGACTGTCACGCCTTTACGCTTTGTCAAAATGACACAAAAATTGACACACATATGTATCTCAATAAGATCTACAAAAAAGTCAGTGCGGACGTATCTGTCAAATGTACGGTTAAAGGGTTATTCCGCATTTTTTGCCGATCCGCACACATTGGAATTTTGCTAACTACTCCGAAGGCTTTCTTTCCACCGGCACCACATTTGCTCAGGCCAATCTACACCCCATGGCCATTAAAAGTTATTCAAATCATGACGCTGCACCCCACGGTTTAGGTTCTAGGGGGCACCAAAGATAACCCTAAAATCCACATATTTAAAAGTCTTATAACTTTTTATTTTTGCCCTCACTGGCCTCCAAGTTTTCTAGGATGATGCAATGTCCAGCCATCAACACATTTGTGAAGGAATTTTTACTCCCCAAAAGAGCGCCCCCCCATGGCCGGAGAAAAAAGTCCATTTTTTCTTGTCCCCTAAGGTGAAAATACACATTGTTGAGTGTCACGCCTGTACGCTTTGTCATATTGACACAAAATTTGACACACACATGTATCTCAATAAGATCTACGAAAAAGTCAATGCGCGCGTATCTGTCAAATGTACGGTTAAAGGGTTATTCCACATTTTTTGCTGATCCGCACACATTGGAATTTCGCTAACTCCTCCTAAGGCTGGCGTTCCACCGGCACCACATTTGCTCAGGCCAATCTACACCCCATGGCCATTAAAAGTTATTCAAATCATGACGCTGCAACCCACGGTTTACGTTCTAGGGGGCGCCAAAGATAACCCTAAAATCCACATATTTCAAAGTCTTATAACTTTTTATTTTTGTCCTCACTGGCCTCCAAGTTTTCTAGGATGATGCAATGTCCAGCTATCAACACATTTGTGAAGGAATTTTTACTCCCCAAAAGAGCGCCCCCCATGGCAGGAGAAAAAAGTCCATTTTTTCTTGTCCCCTAAGGTGAAAATACACATTGTAGAGTGTCACGCCTGTACGCTTTGTCAAAATGACACAAAATTTGACATACACGTGTATTTCAATAAGATCTTCGAAAAAGTCAATGGCCACGTATATGTAAAATGTACAGTTAAAGGGTTATTTCACATTTTTTGCAGATCCGCACACATTGGAATTTGGCTAACTCCTCCTAAGGCTTTCGTCCCACTGACACCAAATTTGCTCAGGCCAATCTACACCCCATGGCCATTCAAAGTTGTAAAAATCATGACGCTGCACCCCACGGTTTACGTTCTAGGGGGCGCCAAAGATGACCCAAATATCCACATTCTTAAAAGAATCCACACCCCCCCATCACCCCCCCCCATCCCCCATCCCCCATGGCAGGAGAAACAGTCAAGTTTTTCCTTCCCATCACTCAATGGCTCAATCGCATCACTCTCCCGGCAACACCGTAACAAGGAGCAACTTGCCGTTTGGATATATCCTAGCTGTGTTTGTGCCCTCACTCATGGTCCAGACTTTTTTCAAATAGGACATGTAGTTTGTCTGCAGCGAGTGTTTTGGTAGAAACTGCGCCTCCCATTCATTATAATGGGAAATGACCACAGACAAGTGCGCACACCATCTTTGGACCTTGAGTGTGACGCGATCGGGAGGGGGAGGCGGTCGCGCTGGGGGCGGCGCAACGCGGCTCGGGCCCGACAGTGCCCCACCGGGGTCCTAGTTATTATTAGGGCCCGAGCGTAGCTGCTAAGCAGCTGCGAGAGCCCTATTATTCCCCAAGGGGTTTTTCTTTGTTTCTTTAGGGCCCGAGCGTAGCTGCTAAGCAGCTGCGAGAGCCCTCTTGTTCCTGCATGTTTCCTTCTTTTGTTATTAGGGCCCGAGCCAGCTGCAGAGCAGCCGGGCGTAGTTAGGGCCCGAGCCAGCTGCAGAGCAGCCGGGCGTAGGCCCTGTTATTCCTGTAGGGGTTTTTCTTTGTTTCTTTCTTTCTTCTTTTTCCTCCCCTTTGAACTGGAAAATGGCCCACTTCCCACTGGCGAAAACTCATGAAATTTGGCAGGATGACCGGGCCTGGTGAAAAATTTGATATTCCGAAGTCGCCCAAACAAGAAAATGCAAAATGGCTCCATAGCGCCCCCTAAGGTGAAAATTCACACTATTGACTGTCACGCCTTTACGCTTTGTCAAAATGACACAAAAATTGACACACATATGTATCTCAATAAGATCTACAAAAAAGTCAGTGCGGACGTATCTGTCAAATGTACGGTTAAAGGGTTATTCCGCATTTTTTGCCGATCCGCACACATTGGAATTTTGCTAACTACTCCGAAGGCTTTCTTTCCACCGGCACCACATTTGCTCAGGCCAATCTACACCCCATGGCCATTAAAAGTTATTCAAATCATGACGCTGCACCCCACGGTTTAGGTTCTAGGGGGCACCAAAGATAACCCTAAAATCCACATATTTAAAAGTCTTATAACTTTTTATTTTTGCCCTCACTGGCCTCCAAGTTTTCTAGGATGATGCAATGTCCAGCCATCAACACATTTGTGAAGGAATTTTTACTCCCCAAAAGAGCGCCCCCCATGGCCGGAGAAAAAAGTCCATTTTTTCTTGTCCCCTAAGGTGAAAATACACATTGTTGAGTGTCACGCCTGTACGCTTTGTCATATTGACACAAAATTTGACACACACATGTATCTCAATAAGATCTACGAAAAAGTCAATGCGCGCGTATCTGTCAAATGTACGGTTAAAGGGTTATTCCACATTTTTTGCTGATCCGCACACATTGGAATTTCGCTAACTCCTCCTAAGGCTGGCGTTCCACCGGCACCACATTTGCTCAGGCCAATCTACACCCCATGGCCATTAAAAGTTATTCAAATCATGACGCTGCAACCCACGGTTTACGTTCTAGGGGGCGCCAAAGATAACCCTAAAATCCACATATTTCAAAGTCTTATAACTTTTTATTTTTGTCCTCACTGGCCTCCAAGTTTTCTAGGATGATGCAATGTCCAGCTATCAACACATTTGTGAAGGAATTTTTACTCCCCAAAAGAGCGCCCCCCCATGGCAGGAGAAAAAAGTCCATTTTTTCTTGTCCCCTAAGGTGAAAATACACATTGTAGAGTGTCACGCCTGTACGCTTTGTCAAAATGACACAAAATTTGACATACACGTGTATTTCAATAAGATCTTCGAAAAAGTCAATGGCCACGTATATGTAAAATGTACAGTTAAAGGGTTATTTCACATTTTTTGCAGATCCGCACACATTGGAATTTGGCTAACTCCTCCTAAGGCTTTCGTCCCACTGACACCAAATTTGCTCAGGCCAATCTACACCCCATGGCCATTCAAAGTTGTAAAAATCATGACGCTGCACCCCACGGTTTACGTTCTAGGGGGCGCCAAAGATGACCCAAATATCCACATTCTTAAAAGAATCCACACCCCCCCCCCATCCCCCATCCCCCATGGCAGGAGAAACAGTCAAGTTTTTCCTTCCCATCACTCAATGGCTCAATCGCATCACTCTCCCGGCAACACCGTAACAAGGAGCAACTTGCCGTTTGGATATATCCTAGCTGTGTTTGTGCCCTCACTCATGGTCCAGACTTTTTTCAAATAGGACATGTAGTTTGTCTGCAGCGAGTGTTTTGGTAGAAACTGCGCCTCCCATTCATTATAATGGGAAATGACCACAGACAAGTGCGCACACCATCTTTGGACCTTGAGTGTGACGCGATCGGGAGGGGGAGGCGGTCGCGCTGGGGGCGGCGCAACGCGGCTCGGGCCCGACAGTGCCCCACCGGGGTCCTAGTTATTATTAGGGCCCGAGCGTAGCTGCTAAGCAGCTGCGAGAGCCCTATTATTCCCCAAGGGGTTTTTCTTTGTTTCTTTAGGGCCCGAGCGTAGCTGCTAAGCAGCTGCGAGAGCCCTCTTGTTCCTGCATGTTTCCTTCTTTTGTTATTAGGGCCCGAGCCAGCTGCAGAGCAGCCGGGCGTAGTTAGGGCCCGAGCCAGCTGCAGAGCAGCCGGGCGTAGGCCCTGTTATTCCTGTAGGGGTTTTTCTTTGTTTCTTTCTTTCTTCTTTTTCCTCCCCTTTGAACTGGAAAATGGCCAACTTCCCACTGGCGAAAACTCAGGAAATTTGGCAGGACGACCGGGCCTGGTGAAAAATTTGATATTCCGAAGTCGCCCAAACAAAAAAATGCAAAATGGCTCCATAGCGCCCCCTAAGGTGAAAATTCACACTATTGACTGTCACGCCTGTACGCTTTGTCAAAATGACACAAAAATTGACACACACATGTATCTCAATAAGATCTACAAAAAAGTCAGTGCGGGCGTATCTGTCAAATGTACGGTTAAAGGGTTATTTCGCATTTTTTGCCGATCCGCACACATTGGAATTTCGCTAACTCCTCCGAAGGCTTTCGTTCCACCGGCACCACATTTGCTCAGGCCAATCTACACCCCATGGCCATTAAAAGTTATTCAAATCATGACGCTGCACCCCACGGTTTAGGTTCTAGGGGGCGCCAAAGATAACCCTAAAATCCACATTTTTAAAAGTCTTATAACTTTTTATTTTTGCCCTCACTGGCCTCCAAGTTTTCTAGGATGATGCAATGTCCAGCCATCAACACATTTGTGAAGGAATTTTTACTCCCCAAAAGAGCGCCCCCCCATGGCAGGAGAAAAAAGTCCATTTTTTCTTGTCCCCTAAGGTGAAAATACACATTGTTGAGTGTCACGCCTGTACGCTTTGTCAAAATGACACAAAAATTGACACACACATGTATCTCAATAAGATCTACAAAAAAGTCCATGCGCGCGTATCTGTCTAATGTACGGTTAAAGGGTTATTCCGCATTTTTTGCCGATTCGCACACATTGGAATTTCGCTAACTCCTCCGAAGGCTTTCGTTCCACCGGCACCACATTTGCTCAGGCCAAATTACACCCCATGGCCATTAAAAGTTATTCAAATCATGACGCTGCACCCCACGGTTTACGTTCTAGGGGGCGCCAAAGATAACCCAAAAATCCACATTTTTAAAAGTCTTATAACTTTTTATTTTTGTCCTCACTGGCCTCCAAGTTTTCTAGGATGATGCAATGTCCAGCCATCAACACATTTGTGAAGGAATTTTTACTCCCCAAAAGAGCGCCCCCCATGGCAGGAGAAAAAAGTCCATTTTTTCTTGTCCCCTAAGGTGAAAATACACATTGTTGACTGTCACGCCTGTACGCTTTGGCAAAATGACACAAAAATTGACAATCATGTGTATCTCAATTAGATCTACGAAAAAGTCAAAGAGCGCGTATCTGTATAATGTACGGTAAAAGGGCTATTTTGCATTTTTTGCCGATTCACACACATTGGAATTTCGCTAACTCCTCCTAAGGCTTTCGTCCCACTGACACCAAATTTGCTCAGGCCAATCTACACTCCATGGCCATTCAAAGTTGTAAAAATCATGACGCTGCACCCCACGGTTTACGTTTTAGGGGGCGCCAAAGATGACCCAAATATACATTACAGTAGACAAAGTAGTTTTGCCCACTGAGTGGCGCCAAAGGGACTTGTCTGTGGAGTCTGTGAGTCACTATTGGCCGTTTTTGACTACTTTAGATTTTACCTTTATATTTCCTCTTACAAAATTTTTACCTTGCCTTGCCTGGTATCATTTTTTTCAGCACAACCTCACCTGTGTCAATTTACAGTTATTTTATCATTTTGACATACTATATTTACACATTGGACCCAAATTCACACACAAAACATAAAATCCGAGTGGAAAAAAGTAACGTTTTTACTGTGAAAACCACAAATATGTGTGATGAACTGTTTTTAAAACTTAAACTTCAATTAAAAATTGTAAACTTCAAAACATATGCAAATTTTTAACAAAGAACATAGTAATTTACCTCTATTGACATCAAAATGCAGGCAATGGCCCAGGTGTTCTTTGTAAAATTATTTACAAAACACTGTATAGTCTCACAAATGTCACTTTTTATTTATGCCACTACAAAAAAACATGATGTAAATGATGCATGATGTAAAACATGATGTAAAAAACTTGTGTAGATCCTCCTCTATGTTAGTCCATGTGTAATTTTTCCATAATTCTTTGTTTTTTGCAGCATTTTTGTTAGTGTAACTGCAGATTGTGCTGACAGTGTCTATGGCAAAAAAAAAAAAAAAAAAACTGAAAATGCCTCAACATGAACCCCTGGTGGTCTCTGAGGGTGAAACCTGCTAACTGCTGCAGCTCTGTCAGCTTCAGTCTCCCATGCAGAGCTCGGAGCGCATGTGTGGCTCTGCACCCTTAGCAGCGTTGCTAACTCCTCAGTAAGGAAAGCCTGCTTCATGTCAGAGTCTCTAAACTCCAGAAGAAGTCGATAAAAGTCACTTTCTTTCTAAAAAGTCGTTAGGGGGTCTGAAAAGTCATTGAATCTAACAACAAAGTCGCTAGGTTTGCAACTACGTGTCCCAGACTGCATCCCTGCTGAGAGTCCCTCCCTCCCTTCTCATATTGCAGGAAGAACGTAAGTTCCCGCCCCTTGTCAATCAGTCACCATATAATTTTGGATTGGTTGTTGTGGTGAAGTTTTCCACCAATAGGAGAGATGTTGTGGTGTGTGTTTTTTTTTTCCTTTGGCAAGCCTTTTCCGCCTGTAAGACCTGTCGCTAATGTCTGCATGCTATGTTTTCCTGTCTCATACAGCGCGATCGAGCGCCGAACGTGATCAAAATAAGCAGAAAACAAGTATCGTGGACATAATTTATCATAACTCTGGTTTTATTTGGCCTATCAACACAATTTAAAAACTGGTATATAGGTTGAGGTCCTCACTTTTGAGATAAATTGAAACGGAGAGTCAACGAGGCTCCGTCTTGCAGCTACATCCGGTTAAATATGTCATGTGACTTGAACGCACACACACACACACACACACACACACACACACACACACACACAGACACACACACACACGCACACACACACACTCAGAGTCTGGTTTTTAGCACCTGCAAAAACATGCTATTTACATATTTGACAAGAATGCAGAGGCTCCTTTTGCCCCTGAAAAAAATCATATTTCAAACACAACTTGACTGGTCATTTCTCCAAAAGACAACCATGAAGCTCCATCCAAACCTGAAGCAGGCAGTTGGTGCATGTGTACAGTAACCTGAGGGGAGTGAGGTGACTGCTTCTGAGGAGAACATGAGCAGTGAAGATTCACCTTAGAGCTAGAACAGAGATGTGCACATGATTATACAGGGGCAGGGGCTCAAGTTTTTTCCAGTTGTTTATACAATATGGAAATTAATGTGAAATTAAAAAACAAAGTATTAATAGGAAGGTAATGACTGTCCTGTGTAGGTGACAGTGATATCCAATAGGCTAGGCACTCACGAGGCTGGCTGTGGCAAGTGTAAGTGAAAGCAACACGCACTGGCAGGAAGAACAGCAAACGCCGATGAAGGAAAAGGGTCTTTGCAGTGATGGGCGTTACCAGAGAGGGCGATGGCCAGAGGACACAAATGGGACGGGGAGGCAGCGCGTTGGGGGGGGGGACGCGACACAGCTCGGGCCCGCCAGTGCCCCAACGGGGTCCTAGTTATTATTATTATTAGGGCCCGAGCCAGCTGCAGAGCAGCCGGGCGTAGGCCCTATTATTCCCCAAGTGGTTTTTCTTTGTTTCTTTAGGGCCCGAGCGTAGCTGCTAAGCAGCTGCGAGAGCCCTCTTGTTCCTGATGGATTCTTCTTTCGTTATTTTTCCTCCGCTTTAAACTGGAAAATGGCCCACTTCCCACTGGCGAAAACTCAGGAAATTTGGCAGGACGACCGGGCCTGGTGAAAAATTTGATATTCTGAAGTCGCCCAAACAAAAAAATGAAAAATGGCTCCATAGCGCCCCCTATGGTGAAAACTCACCTGACGCCTGTACGCTTTGTCAAAATGACACAAAATTTGACACACATGTGTATCTCAATAAGATCTACAAAAAAGTCAGTGCAGGCGTATCCGTCAAATGTACGGTTAAAGGGCTATTTCGCATTTTTTGCCGATCCGCACACATTGGAATTTCGCTAACTCCTCCGAAGGCTTTCGTTCCACCGGCACCAAATTTGCTCAGGCCAATCTACACCCCATGGCCATTCAAAGTTGTACAAATCATGACGCTGCACCCCACGGTTTATGTTCTAGGGGGCGCCAAAGATAACCCAAAAATCCACATTCTTAAAAGTCTTATAACTTTTTATTTTTGTCCTCACTGGCCTCCAAGTTTTCTAGGATGATGCTATGTCCAGCCATCAACACATGTGTTAAGGAATTTTTACTCCCCAAAAGAGCGCCCCCCCATGGCAGGAGAAAAAAGTCAATTTTTTCTTGTCCCCTAAGGTGAAAATACACATTGTTGAGTGTCACGCCTGAACTCTTTGTCATATTGACACAAAAATTGACAATCATGTGTATCTCAATTAGATCTACGAAAAAGTCAAAGAGCGCGTATCTGTATAATGTACGGTAAAAGGGCTATTTTGCATTTTTTGCCGATCCGCACACATTGGAATTTCGCTAACTCCTCCGAAGGCTTTCGTTCCACCGGCACCAAATTTGCTCAGGCCAATCTACACCCCATGGCCATTAAAGTTGTAAAAATCATGACGCTGCACCCCACGGTTTAGGTTCTAGGGGGCGCCAAAGATAACCCTAAAATCCAAATATTTAAAAGTCTTATAACTTTTTATTTTTGTCCTCACTGGCCTCCAAGTTTTCTAGGATGATGCAATGTCCAGCCATCAACACATTTGTGAAGGAATTTTTACTCCCCAAAAGAGCGCCCCCCATGGCAGGAGAAAAAAGTCAATTTTTTCTTGTCCCCTAAGGTGAAAATACACATTGTTGAGTGTCACGCCTATACGCTTTGTCATATTGACCCAAAATTTGACAATCACGTGTATCTCAATAAGATCTACGAAAAAGTAAATGGGCACGTATCTGTAAAATGTACGGTTAAAGAGTTATTTCGCATTTTTTCCCGATCCGCACACATTGGAATGTGGCTAACTCCTCCGAAGGCTTTAGTTCCACCGCCACCAAATTTGCTCAGGCCAATCTACACCCCATGGCCATTAAAAGTTGTACAAATCATGACGCTGCACTCCACGGTTTAGGTTCTAGGGGGCGCCAAAGATAACCCAAAAATCCACATTCTTAATAGTCTTATAACTTTTTATTTTTGTCCTCACTGGCCTCCAAGTTTTCTAGGATGATGCAATGTCCAGCCATCAACACATTTGTAAAGGAATTTTTACTCCCGAAAAGAGCGCCCCCCCATGGCAGGAGAAAAAAGTCCATTTTTTCTTGTCCCCTAAGGTGAAAAAACACATTGTTGAGATTCACGCCTATACGCTTTGGCAAAATAACACAAAATTTGACACACACGTGTATCTCAATAAGATCTACGAAAAAGTCAATGGGCACGTATCTGTAAAATGTACGGTTAAAGGGCTATTTCGCATTTTTTGCCGATTCGCACACATTGGAATGTGGCTAACTCCTCCTAAGGCTTTCTTCCCACCGACACGAAATTTGCTCAAGCCGATCTACATACCATGGCCATTCAAAGTTGTAAAAATCATGCCGCTGCACCCCATGGTTTACGTTCTAGGGGGCGCCAAAGATGACCCAAATATCCACATTCTTAAAAGAATCCACCCCCCCCCCCCCCCCAAGGCAGGAGAAAAAGTCCAGTTAACCCTGCCCATCGCTCAATGGCTCAATCGCATCGCTCTCCTGGCAACACCGTAAGGAGGAGCAACTTGCCATTTGGATATATCCTAGCTGTGTTTGTGCCCTCACTCATGGTCCAGACTTTTTTCAAATAGGACATGTAGTTTGTCTGCAGCGACCGTTTTGGTAGAAACTGCGCCTCCCATTCATTATAATGGGAAATGACCACAGACAAGTGCGCACACCATCTTTGGACCTTGAGTGTGATGCGATCGGGAGGGGGAGGCGGTCGCGCTGGGGGCGGCGCGACGCGGCTCGGGCCCGACAGTGCCCCACCGGGGCCCTAGTTCTTTCTTTCTTAGGGCCCGAGCCAGCTGCAGAGCACCCGGGCGTAGGCCCTGTTATTCCTGTAGGGGTTTTTTAGGGCCCGAGCGTAGCTGCTAAGCAGCTGCGAGAGCCCTCTTGTTCCTGTAGTTTCCTTCTTTAGGGCCCGAGCCAGCTGCAGAGCAGCCGGGCGTAGGCCCTATTATTCCCCAAGTGGTTTTTCTTTGTTTCTTTCTTTCTTTCTTTAGGGCCCGAGCGTAGCTGCTAAGCAGCTGCGAGAGCCCTCTTGTTCCTGTAGTTTCCTTCTTTTGTTATTATTATTATTATTTTTCCTCCCCTTTGAACTGGAAAATGGCCCACTTCCCACTGGCGAAAACTCATGAAATTTGGCAGGACGACCGGGCCTGGTGAAAAATTTGATATTCCGAAGTCGCCCAAACAAGAAAATGCAAAATGGCTCCATAGCGCCCCCTAAGGTGAAAATTCACACTATTCACTGTCACGCCTGTACGCTTTGTCAAAATGACACAAAAATTGACACACACATGTATCTCAATAAGATCTACAAAAAAGTCAGTGCGGGCGTATCTGTCAAATGTACGGTTAAAGGGTTATTTCGCATTTTTTGCCGATCCGCACACATTGGAATTTTGCTAACTCCTCCGAAGGCTTTCGTTCCACCGGCACCACATTTGCTCAGGCCAATCTACACCCCATGGCCATTAAAAGTTATTCAAATCATGACGCTGCACCCCACGGTTTAGGTTCTAGGGGGCGCCAAAGATAACCCTAAGATCCACATATTTAAAAGTCTTATAACTTTTTATTTTTGCCCTCACTGGCCTCCAAGTTTTCTAGGATGATGCAATGTCCAGCCATCAACACATTTGTGAAGGAATTTTTACTCCCCAAAAGAGCGCCCCCCCATGGCAGGAGAAAAAAGTCCATTTTTTCTTGTCCCCTAAGGTGAAAATACACATTGTTGAGTGTAACACCTGTACGCTTTGGCAAAATGACACAAAAATTGACACACACATGTATCTCAATAAGATCTTCGAAAAAGTCAATGGCCACGTATCTGTAAAATGTACGGTTAAAGGGTTATTTCGCATTTTTTGCAGATTCGCACACATTGGAATGTGGCTAACTCCTCCTAAGGCTTTCGTCCCACTGACACCAAATTTGCTCAGGCCAATCTACACCCCATGGCCATTCAAAGTTGTAAAAATCATGACGCTGCACCCCACGGTTTACGTTCTAGGGGGCGCCAAAGATGACCCAAAAATCCACATTCTTAAAAGAATCCACATCCCCCCCCCTATGGCAGGAGAAAAAGTCAAGTTTTTCCTGCCCATCGCTCAATGGCTCAATCGCATCGCTCTCCAGGCAACACCGTAAGGAGGAGCAACCTGGCATTTCGATATATCATAGCTGTGTTTGTGCCCTCACTCATGGTCCAGACTTTTTTCAAATAGGACATGAAGTTTGTCTGCAGCGAGTGTTTTGGTAGAAACTGCGCCTCCCATTCATTATAATGGGAAATGACCACAGACAAGTGCGCACACCATCTTTGGTTCTTGAGTGTGACTCGATCGGGACGGGGAGGCGGTCGCACTGGGGGCGGCGCGACGCGGCTCGGGCCCGACAGTGCCCCACCGGGGCCCTAGTTCTTTCTTTCTTTCTTCTTTTTCCTCCCCTTTGAACTGGAAAATGGCCCACTTCCCACTGGCGAAAACTCATGAAATTTGGCAGGACGACCGGGCCTGGTGAAAAATTCGATATTCTGAAGTCGCCCAAACAATAAAATGCAAAATGGCTCCATAGCGCCCCCTAAGGTGGAAATTCACACTATTGACTGTCACGCCTGTACGCTTTGTCATATTGACACAAAAATTGACACACATATGTATCTCAATAAGATCTACAAAAAAGTCAGTGCGGCCGTATCTGTCAAAATTACGGTTAAAGGGTTATTTCGCATTTTTTGCCGATCCGCACACATTGGAATTTCGCTAACTCCTCCGAAGGCTTTCGTTCCACCAGCACCACATTTGCTCAGGCCAATCTACACCCCGTGGCCATTAAAAGTTATCAAAATCATGACGCTGCACCCCAAGGTTTAGGTTCTAGGGGGCGCCAAAGATAACACTAAAATCCACATATTTAAAAGTCTTATAACTTTTTATTTTTGTCCTCACTGGCCTCCAAGTTTTCTAGGATGATGCAATGTCCAGCCATCAACACATTTGTGAAGGAATTTTTACTCCCCAAAAGAGCGCCCCCCCATGGCAGGAGAAAAAAGTCAATTTTTTCTTGTCCCCTAAGGTGAAAATACACATTGTTGAGTGTCACGCCTATACGCTTTGTCAAAATGACACAAAAATTGACACACACATGTAACTCAATAAGATCTACAAAAAAGTCAGTGCGCGCGTATCTGTCAAATGTACGGTTAAAGGGTTATTCCGCATTTTTTGCCGATACGCACACATTGGAATTTCGCTAACTCCTCCGAAGGCTTTCGTTCCACCGGCACCACATTTGCTCAGGCCAATCTACACCCCATGGCCATTAAAAGTTATTCAAATCATGATGCTGCACCCCATGGTTTAGGTTCTAGGGGGCGCCAAAAATAACCCAAAAATCCACATTCTTAAATGTTTTATAACTTTTTATTTTTGTCCTCACTGGCCTCCAAGTTTTCTAGGATGATGCAATGTCCAGCCATCAACACATTTGTGAAGGAATTTTTACTCCCCAAAAGAGCGCCCCCCCATGGTAGGAGAAAAAAGTCAATTTTTTCTTGTCCCCTTACATAAAAATACACATTGTTGAGTGTCACGCCTGAACGCTTTGTCATATTGACACAAAAATTGACAATCATGTGTATCTCAATTAGATCTACGAAAAAGTCAAAGAGCGCGTATCTGTATAATGTACGGTTAAAGGGCTATTTTGCATTTTTTGCCGATTCGCACACATTGGAATGTGGCTATCTCCTCCTAAGGCTTTCGTCCCACCGATACCAAATTTGCTCAGGGCAATCTACACCCCATGCCCATTCAAAGTTGTAAAAATCATGACGCTGCACCCCACGGTTTACGTTCTAGGGGGCGCCAAAGATGACCCAAAAATCCACATTCTTAAAAGTCATTTTGGCCACTGCAGGAGTACAGAGTACTGCAGTTCTAGGGGGCGCCAAAGATGACCCAAAAATCCACATTCTTAAAAGTCTTTTTGGCCACTGCAGGAGTACAGAGTACTGCAGGATACACACACATATACACACACGCCAACATACACACACACACACACACACACACACACACAGACACACACACACACTCAGAGTCTGTTTTTTAGCACCTGCAAAAACATGCTGTTTACATATTTGACAAGAATGCAGAGGCTTCCTTTTGCCCCTGAAAAAAATCAAATTTCAAACACAACTTGACTGTTCATTTCTCCAAAAGACAACCATGAAGCTCCATTTCAAACCTGAAGCAGATAGTTGGTGCATGTGTACAGTAACCTGAGGGGAGTGAGGTGACTATTTCTGAGGAGAACATGAGC